GATATTCCAAAACATCAAACCAACATTCTTAACCTGTATGTATGTATGTCTTATATTCCTGTGAGTTACTCCCCCGGGGGAAAATATGTAGAGACACACAATTTTGCAGAGAACTTCAGGGAGCTCACCTCTTCCCACATGTGAAGAACACTGTTCTATGTGATGGCCTTGGAGAACATACCAGAATAGTTTAGTCTAACTTGTATTAAAGATTTTTTTTCTTCTAACACAAGCTCCACTCTAAACCTTGTTCTGCAGTGGAACCTACTCAGCAAAGTCTCAGCAGATGATTTTTCACTCAGCGTCTCTGTAAAATGATTCTAAATGTAAAACAACTCTCAGATACTGTAGTTAGTCATTTACTTTTTCATTATCCTGATGTCTTTTGCTTGTGAAAAATAAAACAGTCATGTTAATGCGAACCTATACACTGAAGAATAGAGATAGATACAGGTGCTTGTGGGGAAAGCAGTATTATGGTAATAGGTTATAGAGCATGCTCCGGAAAGATCAGATATTTTTATTTAGCATCTGCATCATTTGACAGGTAAAACCTTTGCAGTTTTAGAGAATTTTGATAGAATAACGCTATGGTGTTTTAGTTAAAAATGGAAATGAAATAGCCTATGTATATGTGTTTGGTCTATATGGAAGCAATATTCTTTTGGTTTACTTTTCCCTAGTTTTTAAGTTTAGTAGGTGTCTTAGTTATCTAGTGCTGTTAAACAGAAATACCACAAATGGATGACTTTCACAAAGAGAAATTTATTCTCTCACAGTCTAAGAGGCTAGAAGTCCGAATTCAGGGTGCCAGCTCCAGGGGAAGGCTTTCTCTCTGGGTTGGCTCTGGGGGAAGGTCCCAGTCAAGGAGCTTTTCCACTCAGGAACTCCAGGTCCAAAGGACACCCTCTGCTCCTGGCACTGCTTTCTTGGTGGTATGAGCTCCCTATGTCTCTCTGCTTGCTTCTCTCTTTTATATCTCAAAAGAGATTGGCTTAAGAAACAACCTAAGCTTGTAGATTGAGTCCTGCCTCATTAACATAACTGCCGCTAATCCCATCTCATTAACATCCTAGAGACAGGATTTACAACACATAGGAAAATCACATCAGATGACAGAATGGTGGACAATCACACAATACTGGGAATCATGGCCTAGCCAAGTTGACAGATATTTTGGGGGGACACAATTCAATCCATGCCGGTAGGCTAGAACAAGCTACTTGGAAATTTTTCAAGGGGATACTATGGGCCAAGCAGTGTGCTAGGATTTTTACATATATTGTCTCTGAACCTCAATTCCCTCAGTTGTAAAATGGTGATAACTCTATTCCCTGCAGTGCTTTTTGAGGAAAAGAGAGACCAAAAAACCAATCTGAGCCTTGGGTTTGTTGTTCCTTTAGTGATTTTTAAGTTATCTGTCATCCATTCGTTCATGCATTCAGAGAAACTTTGGGGTATATGTAAATTCCATATTCCTCTATATTCCCTATCACTTATATTCCTATATTCCAGGAACTAGAAATAGGAGTAGGAATTTGGGACTAATTAATTCTAGAGACAAAGGGTTCTTGGTATTTTTCAAAAATAGAACATCTAAAATTAAATAGTTTCTTGATTTTGCTGGATCCCAAATCCTCGCTAGAGGTTGTCAATTCCTGCATGAGCTGGCCCCACTGACTATCTTCATCTGTTCCCACCTCGGAGGATGTTCTAGTCACACTGGCTGATTTCCTGAGTTCCCCCAACCTGGCAAGCATTGACACCGTATGGTCTTGTTTGCTTTCCTCTTGGTTCTGTTCTTGGCTGGTTTCTTATCATTGAATTCACCTGTTCAAATGTCACCTCCTCAGAGAGGTGTATGCGGGCCACAATATATCTAAATAGCTCCTCCTACTCACTAGCATATCACCTTATCGTATTTCCTTCATAGACCTTACGACTATCTGGTGTTTTGTTTTCTATTTATTGCCCGTCTTCTCCCTCTAAAATGCAGCCTACATCAGAGCAAAGACCTTGTTAAGGATCCAGTGATAAGAAATGTCTGTTACATAGTAGGTGTCATAACAATGTGTTGAATGAACAAGTGGACTTTTGTCTCACAGTAACATGAGGACAACCAGTGGTTGTTACTTGCGATTCCAGACTGGGGAGTTGTATAATAGTAAATGGTTAATTAGTAAGAATTAGTAGAATGTCCAGCACGTAGGTAGTTGGATAGTTTAGTTGCTTACATGGCTTAACTAATTTAATTTCTATAACACTGTGAGGTAGATATCATTATTTTCCCCATTTTATAGATGAAAAAATTGTGATATATGAAGGTTAAGCACCTTGCACAAGTCTATACAGATAGAAGGTTTGGAAGCAGGGATTTGAGCCCACGCTCTTTACTACCTTATAGAAAGTACTCAGTAAATACAGCTTTAACCATGTGCTCAGCACTCTACTGAGTGCTTCGTATGCATTGTATCGTTCAACGCTTTGTTCTGCAGTACGACCTAGGTACTGTCATTGCCTGCTCTACAGATGGGGAAACTGAGTCTTGGACAGCTTAAACAGCTTGTCTGAGGCCCCACTATTGCTTAGTGATGGAAATGGGATTTGAATGTAGACAATACAACCCTGAAACCTATAATCATAGGGATTGTCTCCATACTACAGGAAGCTTGGGAATTCCTGTTGGAACCTAGTCATTCTGAGGTTTGTAAAGAGGGATTCATCTCCTCCATTCAAACGGTCTTCACTGGCATAAGGAAGGGATATTGTTATTTTGCTACAGGTTCGTAATGACTACATAGCAGTACAACTCAGAGAAAGAAATAGAAGAATTTGTATCAGTAAAACCACTTGTCTGTGAGGACTCATGTAGTTGGTTAAACGTCCATTTCTTCAGAAGGAGCATAAGGATAGAATTCAGAAATGTGATTATTGTGAAAGGTCACTCTCAGTTTCTAAAATGAACTGGGACAGAATTAGATATATTTTTACGTATCACTAGGCTGGTTCTGCACTGAGCTGAAATGCAATGTGAAAAGTTCAGCACTCAGGAGGGGACAAGCAAGCTGGTGAAAGGTAACCCAAGGTTGAGAAGGGACAGCATTGACATGTCGTGGGGTTGTTATCCAGTGTCATAAAACAGTATGTGTACTGACTCTTTAATGAGAAACTATTTGTTCTGTAAACCTTCACCTAAAGTACAATTTAAAATAAATTTTTTTAAAAGTTTAGTACTATAGTTTTTCAGATTTACTCTTCAGGTTTTTTTTACATGGAATATGTCCTTGGGGACTCGGTACTGTCAGTGGCAGAAGTCCCAGTATGTCTAGAGGAATGGTATGATATTTTGGCTACTGCAGAGGGGAGGAAAATGGAAGATCATTTATTTAACCATTATTTTCCCTCATGTCAGTGCTGTGTCTACCAAACTGCTCCTTGTCAAATAGTTCCATTGTTGTTAGTTGCTTTTGAGTCATCTCCGACTCATCCTGACTGTCTTAGTTATCTAGTGCTGCTATAACATAAATACCACAGGTGGATGGCTTTAACAAACAAAAGTTTATTTTCTTACAGTTTAGGAGGCTAGAAGTCCGAATTCAGAGCGCTGGCTCGAGGGGGAAGACTCTCTGTCGGCTCTCTGAAAGGTCCTTGTCTCTTCAGCTTCTACCTCCTACTTCCTTGGAGATTTCCATGTCTCTTGGCGTCTGTCTTACCCCATCTCTCTCTTTCTCTGTTTGATTGTTTCATCACTTTTATATCTCAAAAGAGATTGACTTAAGATACACCCTATACTAATCCTGACTCATTAACATAACAAAGACAACTCATTCCCAAATGGGATTATAACCACAGGCATAGAGGTTAGGATTTACAATACATATTTTTAGGGGACATAATTCAATCCATAACAATGACCTTATATATACAGAAGGAGAGGTTTCCCAGTCCTATGCCTTCTTCATGATGGTTGGTATGTTTAAGTCCATTGTTGAGGCTATTGTGTCAATGCATCTCCTTGAGATTTGTCATGGATTGAATTGTGTCCCCAAAAATATGTGTCAACTTGGCTCTGAGCATCTTTCCTGGAGATTTTTTTTTATTTATTTTTTTGCTAATACCTAGGTCTGCTTCTTAAGGGCAGGACCTATGGGACTTAAGATGTGATATCTTCTACTCAGTGCTGTGTGCATCCCTGTTTCATTGGGTTCAGCCTTGCCTACTTTGTTAAAGTCTATGAAAGCAGTGAGTAGTATTTGTGGAGCAGGACTAGAATTACATGGTTTTCAGCTTTTCAAATAGCTTTTGTTCTGGTTCCTCTAGAAGCACCTGGCCATTTCTCTTTGTGCCCAGTGTGACAGAAACAAGTGGGGATGGCATTCACCTTCACTGTGGTTTGTCTCCAGAGCACCTGTGTGCTCTCGGAGCAGGAGAAGTTTAGTTTCTCCAGTTGGTTGACCTTTTACTCACTGTCTTTCCCACTGCTTAAACTTGTATTGTTTCTTTCAGATTTTGAAAGAGTTACAAAATTTCTCAAATGTAAGTGTTTACTCAGGGAATGGGATTGACAGATATGTGGGTCCAGTAACTTTAGCTGAACATACCTCAGACCATGGTTGGTTTAAGAGACCAGGCAATTCAGCACAAAGTAAATCAGCTAGCCTCACACAGTGACAGAACTGGGTGCAGCCAGGTCAGTGCTGGCTACTTGTTCTTCCTGAACCCCAAAGGCCATTGAGTGCCCTGCTAAAACTCAGCTGGCTAGTAGAAAGGCCTGACCAGCAGAAGGCAGTAATTGCTTAACTTTCATCTGATCAGAATTAATACAGTTTACTTAAAGGGTCTGACCCTACAAAACAGGGAGATGGTTGAATATATTTGAATAATCAAGCTCTCTAAGGAGAAGCAAAACATACTCCTATTGATGTGAGAAATACAAATAAACTCAAGCAGTCTCTCTTTTCATTGTAGATACATAAGCTCTGGACTTTCCAATATACAGGATCAGGATGCTGCTCCTCTGCCATGCTCTAGCTGTAGCACTTATCCAGATCTTTATCGTCTCAGAAAATTGGGCATTTGCCAAGAACATCAACTTCTATAATGTGAGGCCTCCTCTCGACCGTAAGTAGCCATTGCCATCCTAGTTCATCACTGTGGGGTCACAGCACCCATTGGAAGCCCCTGTTTACACCTGTGGTAACTTTGCATTTTCCTGGAGCCTTTGGTTTATACCTAGAAAAAAACAAAGTCTTCATTACCTCTGTGGTTAAGGGGAATACATAGTGACAGAAATTTTCTCCATTTCTTTAAAATGTTTGGCTTCCTGTTAATGTCTTAAAGGGGATCTTGTTTTTAAAAAAAATTTGAACACTGTCCCTAATCATGGCTTAGCAGAGAAAATTCAGTGTTCTTTATTGATCTCTTCATTATAGAAGGACATTACTTGTAGTAAGCTTCTGCATAAATTGTATACTAATTCTTTCAAATGGCAATTAACAATTTTGAAAACAGATGGCTATGTTTGAAATTTGGAGGAGAATGTTACCTGGATTTTTGTTAATATTATGCAAAAATAATAAAGATAATATTCTGCATCCTACTTTGGTGAATAGCATCTGGGGTCTTAAAAGCTTGTGAGTGGCCATCTAAGATACAACTATTGGTCTCTTTTCATCTGGAGCAAAGGAGAGTGAAGAAAACCAAAGATTCAAGGGAGCAATTAGTCCAAAGGACTCATGGACCACATGAACCCCAGCCTACATGACTCGAGACCAGAAGAACTAGATAGTACCTGCTTACCACTACTGACTGCTCTGACTAGGATCACAACAGAGGGCCCCAGACAGAGCAGGAGAAAAATGTAGAACAAAAAAATCAAATCCACACACTGGTCTGGCAGAGACTGGAGGGACCTCTGAGACTATGGCCCTGTGATACCCTTCTGACCTGGAACTGAAGCCATTCTTGAAGACCGCTTTCCAGCCAAACAAGAAACCAAATCAAATCTGTTTCTGACTCATAGCGACCCTATAGGACAGAGTAGAACTTCCCCATAGGGTTTCTAAGGAGCAGGTGGTGGATTCAAATTGCCGACCTTCTGGTTAGCAGCCGTGCTATTAACCACTGAGCCACCAGGGCAAGCCCATAAAATAAACAGTAACACCAGAGAGGAATGTGCTCCTTGGAACAATCAATTATACAAGATCAGAAGAGCAATATTTGCCCAAAAACAGAGATGAGATGGCAGGAAGGGATAGAAAATCAGGACAAAAGGAAATGGGGAACCCAGGGTGGAAATGGGGATAGTGCTGACGCATTGAGGGGAATGAAACTAAGGCCATGAAATACTTTATATACCAACTATTGAATAGAAATCTAATTTGCTCTGTAAACTTTAACCTAATGCACAATTAAAAAAAAAATTTGAATGCCTTTTACCTTCCAATTTTTTTTAATCATATGCTTGCTCTGTAGCTTATTTAACCATTTCCCCGTACTTTATAGTAGCCATATATATTTCTCACAAGCAAATAATGCTTCATTGAAAATCTTTTTTAAAAAAATTATTTTTCCCTTCAGTTGGTTAGTAACCTTAGAATAGATTTCTGGAATTAGAATTAATAAAGCAAAAAGATTGTGCTGATTTTTAGTTTAACTATTCACTTACCAGCATTGAATATTAGTATCTTTTAAACTGTACTGATTTAGAGATAAAAATGGATCCTCCTTCCCTCCTCCTTCCCTCCCTCTACCTGATACACTTTTATGCATAGGCAAAACTGAAATGTATTTGCATGTCTTCCGCACTTAAGTTTCTGATGTTTTCCTATTGTTGATATTTTGTTCTTGTTTTATGTGTCAATATGATGGTACAGTGGTTAAGTGCTCAGCTGCTAACTAAAAGGTTGGTGGTTCGAACCCACCAGCAGCTCTACGGAAGAAAAGATCTGGAGATCTTCTCCCGTAAAGATTACAGCCTAGGAATCCCTATGGGGCAGTTCTACTCTGTCCTATAGGGTTGCTATGAGTTGGAGTCGACTCGGCAGCATACAACAACAACAGCATATTCCTTACACTGAAACTGAAAAATATACTGTTTCTAATTTTTATCACAACTTCTCGGATTCCTACAATAGCTTGGGGTGCACCTGGATCCTTGTTTGTTTCTTGCTCCAAAAATGAGAGCATTGAAAGTTTTACACAAGGCTTTATACTCTGGCCCATACAGAAATGTCAAATTATTTTACTTTTGACTTCTTGCCCATTAAAATAACAGATTACAAAGCAAAAAGACAGCATAAAGCCAAAAGAACATGCTAGTGCTCTTAATCCAGACTGCCAGCAACTACTAATTCCTTCTTCCCTTAACATTTTGGGCCAGAGGGTAAGGGCCTAAGAATTACTATTCACCTTATATTAAATGTTACATTCCTGGTCGAGGTCTGCTATCCTGATAATTGATGTATATCAAGTGAAAGTACTTATTTGAGGTTAAATGTAACTGTAATGGAAGTGGATATGGATGGAAACCAGATAACTCGATGTGCCAGGGACTCTGCTAGGTATGTTTCTTGTAGTCTTCTATTTAATCCTCATTCCACCCCTGCAAGTCATGGAGATCTTCATAATTTATTTTCTAAAAGCTAAAAAAATCTGACAACTAATTAGTAGCAAGGGCAGAATTCAAACTCAGGCTAATTTGACACCAGTTCTTTTCAGGGATGATATTATACCGTGAATGAAATTACTGGTTCCACTACCGCCACCACTCATTATCCATACTCTCATCTCTCACTTATTCCCAAATTATAAATTATAATAGAATGATATCATGAATCTTTCATAGTAGCTTGTGGAATCATTTTCATTACTCTGTGTTTTTAGCTGCCATCGAGTTGGCCCCTAACTCATGGTGACCCCGTGCACAATGGAAAGAAATACTGCTCAGTCCTGCATCATCCTCATAATCAGTTGGGGATCAGGTGGTTGTGCTCCATAGGGTTTCCATTGGCTGATTTTCAGAAGTACATCACCAGGCCTTTCTTTCTAGTCCATCTTAGAAAGCCCTGCTGAAACCGGTTCAGCATCATAGCAACATGGAAGCCTCCACTGACCGACAAGGGGTAGCTGCGCATGAGGTACATTGGCTGGGAATCGAACCCCAGGTCTCCTGCATGGAAGGCGAGAATACCACCACTGAACCACCACTGTCCTCATTCATTACTCTGTAGAGGACCTTTATAGGTGAAATATTTAAAGAAAAGGAAATAAAGAAAATGCCTGAAGTCTGGTGGATAAATCCAGCTCCCTAGAAATAGAAATTCTAAGGATGATTGATGGCTTGTGAATTTTGTTTGATCTAATAAAAGGTGCTAGTGTTTTGCCATGTTTGATGTTTGAAATTTTTGTCTTTTTTAACCTTAATGTTTCACTTTACATTTTTCTTTAAAGCAACACCATTTCCAAACAGCTTTAAGTGTTTTACCTGTGAAAATGCTGGGGATAATTACAACTGCAATCGATGGGCAGAAGACAAATGGTGTCCACAAAGTAAGTGTGCTGAGGTTGATGATTTGTTTCATGATCCCACTTCATTTAGGTCTTGCCCTGAGCGGAGATGCCTACTAATGGGCTTAACATGCCAAGAGGCTGATGATGTTCAACAGGGTTCCAGAGGTTTCTTCTGCGAGACTATCAATACATCAGACTATATTTGGAGAACTTAGAAACTGATGGCATAGCCTCAATTTGTAGTCGTGTGTGCCTTGAGGAAAAATATCTTAAATGGCATTTACTAGGGAGAACAAATAGACTACAATGTTGACTAAGGCATTCTAAGAATTTCAGAAATGCTTAATGATACCTCTAGAAAAGTCATACTGGCTAAAGCAAAGGAAGGCTTTAGTTTGTTTAGTTCACTGATGTATCCCCAATGCCTGTCCAGCTCCTGGCCCATTTTAGGCACTCAGTAAATATTTGTTACCAGAATGAATGGATGCCTTTAATTAAGTGGTCAGGGAAATCTTCTCTTCGGAGATGACCTTTGAACTAAGACCTGAATGACCTAAACAAGCCAGCCATGTAGGAAGAGCATACCAGAAAGGAGAGAACGACAAATGCAAAAGCTTCAAGAGAAAAGAACAGGGTTAGTATGTTCAGTAATCTACAATGAGGCTGGCTGCTGAGGCTTAGTGGGAGATGGAGAAAGGGTCTGAGATGAAGACAAGGACAGGAACACAGGATCTTCTTTTTTCTGATGAAGAGTTTGGATTTCATTGTAAAAGTAATGGGAAGGTAGTAGAAGGTTTTAAGGTAGGGAGCACATGGAGTTAGTTGTGTTTTCAAAAGACTACCCTGGTTGCTGTGTAGAGAATAGATTGTTGGGGGTGAACAGAAGGGGACCCCAAGTGGGAAATTTCATTGTCTTCAGGCAGGAGAAGATGATGACTTAGCCTAGGGTGGCTGGGGTGGAGGGAGAGAGAAGTTGCAAAATGTCGTACGTACAAAACTTGGAGGTAAAGGAGATAGGATATGTTGATGGATGATTTGGAATTGAAAATTCTACTTAGTACTATAAGGAGACTCAGGCTATTTAGATTTTAGAGTGTACTTTTTTTTAGATTTTTAAATGTGAAAGCCCAAGAAAAAGCAAACAAAACCCTTTCAGAGTTAGAGGTTACCAGTTTTGGTCTACTATTACCTTCTTTTGGAAATTTCTATACCACTTTATTTAGAGCAGTGGAATAACCTTGCCTATTCCAGATAAATTAGGAACCCCGGTGGTGCAAGTGTTGAAGCGTTTGGATGCTAACTGAAAGATCGGTAGTTGGAACCCACCAGCCACTCCGAGGAAGAAAAGATGTGGCAGTCTGCTTCCGCAAAGATTACAACCTTGGAAACCCTAAGGGGGAGTTCTCCTCTGTCCTGTAGGGTCGCTATGAGTCAGAATCTACTCGATGGCAATGGGTTAGGTTTTTTTTTTTTTTGGTTATTTCAGATAAAGGCAATGTGTGGAGCCAGAAGTAGTACACACTGGAGACCCACACAGAGCCCAAGAAGCTTATGCTACAAACTAACAAAAAATGGTTATGACATCTATACAGACAATATCTTTTTAATTGTCTTCTCAAGAATAATTAATTACCAAAACATTTTTCTCGTGGTTCTTTCACAATTCTGTAGAGTGACCATCCTTAAGTCGCGTGTGTGTGCTTGTGAGTGCATATGCATGCATGATTGTATGTATTTGGGGGGGTTCTAAATTTTTCACAGAAATGTTATTTCAAAATTTTCACGGTTGACTGAGGCCTCTCTTTACTAACTTATTTCAGACGATAGGTATCATTCTTTAATGATTTGCTTTAAATTCCTCCAAAAGCTGGATGGTATCAATTAGGAGAGTAGTTAATTGGACATTGATGTCTAACCTCTTAGCTGTATTTTCATGGACCATGCTTTTCTTTTGTACTAAAACACTGCTCCTCCTAGGTCTATGCATAGTGCTCCAATTTGTCACTCATTAACCAAATCCATATTTAACTGGGACGTTCATGTCTGTTTCTGGGTTTTAGAATTTCATCTCTTTTGAAACGCGTGTGAATAAAGGGGAAGGCTGCAGCTTTTCACCACAAAGAAAATATCAGAGGTGGGAAGGGTGGCAGAGAGTCAGATGTATCACATCCTTCCTGAAAACCCGACTCTTAAAGAGATCCACATGGACTGCCTCCACATTCCAGCACGGCGTGACGGCTCATACTTGACCACATGTCAATCAGGTCTCAAAGATACTAACCACCTGGAATTATGACTAAGGTGTAATTTCTTACTTTTCACTTTCTCATTATTTGGGCGAGTGACAGTCAACCATTCCTTAGGGCAAACAGGCCTGCAGCTATTGTTCTTCATCATCTCAGGTTTCTTTTTCACCCTACAGCTTCACTTCTGTGGTCTGTTGGTGTTGTTAAAAGAGGTTCTCTATGTAACAGGATATGACAAGAATGACATTTCTTGTTTTAGTTACCCTGGCTTTTACTCTGACTTTTAGCGTGTGTGACATTCTACATGAACACATGCCGCTACCAGTTTTCAGCTCTTTGTTTGGAGGATAAGTTGAAATGCCTTCTCCAAAACCTTCTGTTGTTTCCTTTCCTTCTGAATCCAGAAGACAACTAATCCTGGAGAGCACTTTACAGCACCATCTAGTTTAATATTAAATATACTAAGAGGCAGACTAGTGTTCTGGTGAAGACTGCAAACCCTGGAAAACTGCCTCTGTTAGACACCGACCTTCTACCACTTTTACTTATGTGACCAACGGCAAGAAACCGTGCCTTGGTTTCTTCATCTCTAAAATGAGGCTATTATGTCAACCCAGAACTAAAACCATTCCCGAGGCCAACTCTTCAGACAGAGATTAGACTGGACTATGGGACATAAAATGATACTCTTGAAGAGTGTGCTTCTTAGCTCAAGTAGGTACATGAGACTAAATGGGCAGCTTTTGTCTGGAGGTGAGATGGGAAGGCAGAGAGGGTCAGGAGCTGGTTGAATGGACATGGGAAATTGGGTGGAAAGGAGGAGTGTGCTGCCACAGTATAGGGAGAGCAATTAGGGTCACATAACAATGTATGTATAAATTTTTGTATGAGAGACTAACTTGAATTGTAAACTTTCACTTAAAAGTACAACAATAAAATAAAAAATAAAAATAAAATGGTGCTATTAATATGCCTTACCTTACAGGCTTATTTTGAGGAGTGTATGAGTTAACACATAGCAATATATGTTTGCTATCATTAATATTATTTAAAGCTTATAACAACTCTGTCAAAATGTTAGTTGCCATCGAGTCAACTCCAACTCATTGCGACCTAATGTGTAACAGAATGAAGTGTTGCCCTGTCCTCTGCCATCTTCACGGTCATTGGTATGTTAGGGTCCATTATTGTGGCTGTTGTGCCAATTCATCTTATTGAGGGTTTCCTTCATTTTTGCTAACCCTCTACTTGACCAAACATGATAAAACATATTACTATCAATTTACAAAAAAGAAAACTAAGCTCAAAGGATCTAACATGGCTTGCTCACTTGTGACAGAGGTGGTTCCAAAAGCCCAATATTCTCAGCTTTAGTCCAGTTTTGTTCCCATTCTACAATATTCCTGCTGTAATCTCTGCTCAGTAAGCTAAATGGCATTTCACTGGGTGGAGATAATCTGGAGAAGAGTCACTGGACCAAAGTGGAATGTCCCAGAATATTGAATGAAATAGCTTTCTGGGAAGCACCCTAAATAGTAGACTATGAATGTTTAAAGTTATAAGGATAACTCTGTGTAGAATTGCTAGCTATCCAGGGATGGGGAGAAACAGAGAAAGCAAGAGTTTATTAAACAGGGCAAGAAAAAATGGAAATAAGTGGGTGAGGAAATGTCAGGAAGGTCAGAACGATTAGAGCATGAAAAGGAACAAGATGAGGAAGGAAGTTGATCTTGATGTGTAATCTGAAGCACCCGCTCTTCACTCAGTTCACCACATGGCCTATTAGTATGTAAGAAACCAACGTTGAATAATGCAAAAACAGGTGTTCTGGCCCACTGCATTTTAAATTCACAATTTTCATTTTAGTTTAGAGTTATAGGACATGTGCTTCAGAGAAAGGGAGGAGAGAGAGAAGAAAAATAAAGAGAAAGCAGGAGACATTTTCATCTAAAATAAGCAGACCTATGGTTCTCATGAAAAGTTTGCAAAGTTTTTTCCCAGCTTTAGCTGGCACCAAAGGATGGGTGCCCATTTATATTCATTTTCAAAACACACACGTGCTTCAGGAGCTGATGTCTTCAAAAATACACCTAGAAACTCTAGAGTTCACTGCCACTAAATTTCTTAACTGGAAACCTCAGATCATCCTGAATTGTAGTCATTTCTCAAGTGATTGTTGAGAGGACTATTTTGCAGTGTGGAAAACGTAGTTGCCTTGATTTTTTTTTTTTTCCTGCCTAGATACACAGTACTGTTTGACAGTTCATCACTTCACCAGTCATGGAAGGAGTACATCCATCACCAAAAAGTGCGCCTCAAAGAGCGAATGCCATTTTGTTGGCTGCTACCACAGAGATTCTGAACATACAGTAAGGACCGTGTGTGTGTGGGTGTGTGTGGAGTTAACTTTTTAAAGGTTTTGTGCTAGGTGTCTTAGTTATCTAGTGCTGCTATAACAAATACCGTAAGTGGATGGCTTTAACAAACAGAAGTTTATTCCCTCACAGTTTAGGAGGCTAGAAGTCCAAATTCAGGGTGCCAGCTCCAGAGAAAGTCTTTCCTGTCGGCTCTTGGGGGAAGGTCCTTGTCATCAGTCTTGCTTGGTGGTAATGAGGTCCCTTTCCTTTCTGCTCAATTCTCTCTTTTATATCTCAAAAGAGATTGACCCCAAGATACAACCTAACCCTGTAGGTTGAGTCCTGCCTCATTAACATAACTGCCTCTAATCCTGCCTCATTAACATCATAGACGTAGGATTTACAACACAGGAAAATCACATCAGATCACAAAATGGTGAGCAACCACACAATGCTAGGAATCATGGCCTAGCCAAGTTGACACACATTTTTGGGGGACACAATTCAATCCATAACACTAAGGATGGTAAATTGTACATCATAGGAGAGGCAGGATGATAAGTAATATGTTGAACTTATTTATACCTTGAGGACAGACTACATATGTTACAGTGATGAAATGGAAACAACAAAGAGAAATTGAAGACTTTGTGTCCAACAAGAAATAATGTCACCCAAAAAGAATGATAACTCCTAGTGTCCAGAGGTAGGCCCTAGACCTTGGACTTCTGGTGAATTGTCTGAGGCCAGCTTCAGTGACCCAAGAACAAACCATGAGAGCATGACAACTACTGCAGAGCCCAGCTCACCTGTTTTATTCTTGGCCAGGAACCACCTAGCCCACTACACTGGAAAGCAAGAAAGTGGAAAGAGAAGAATAGTGTGTTGTGACACCTTTTACTAAAGGAAACCTTGTCTCACCAATTAGCTCCACTTAGATGAGGAAGTAAGAGTCTGAAAGATTAACCTCTGTTTAATACGGTGAACCATAGAGGCATTTGCAATGAATTTCTTTAACTTTCTCATTCCATCATTCTAAATGCCTGTGCTACTGAAGTGTTTGAGAAAAAAAAAAAAAATACTCTGAAGTATGTTAATTTCATGAGGTTTTAGACTTTGACTTAGCCTGAAGTACAGAAAATGGTTCTGACATCAGTGGCTTTTCACTCTGGCTGCACGTGAGAATCACTGGAAGCTTTTGCAGCAACTAGCTAGGTTACTGGTGGCAGAGGTCACCCCAGACCAATTGAAACAGAACCGGGGGGTGGGGGGGAACTCTGGGCATAAGCATCTTTTTTAGAAGTTCCTCCAAGGTGATTCTTGTGTGCAGCCAGAGCTGGGAAGCACTGATCTACACACTTGAAAAAAAAAATCCCACAAAAACCAAACCTGTTGCTGTGGAGAACTGCTCCATAGTGTTTTCTTGGCTGTAATCTTTACGGAAGCAGATTACCAGTCCCTTCTCCCACAGTGCCACTGGGTGGGTTTGAACCACCAACCTCTAGGCTAGTAGTCAAGCATAAACCATGCCACACAGGGACCTAACAGCGGATATGTTTATCTTTCCTAGACATCCTGGTTTATCAGGATAAGGCATAGAACCAGGCACACAAGGGTATTACAACAGGAGATTGCATTCCTTGGAAACATCGGTAACCTCGTGCTGTAAACAACCCATCCCTTTTTACCACTCAGCAGCCATAATTAGCAAGCCATTGCTGCTGTAATGATAGGAATCAGGTGTTAGCATAGACAGTGGAGAATCATTATTATCCCCTAACAAGTAGTACTGAGAAAGAAAATCAATGACTAATCCAAAAAGTTCCCAGCTTTTATTTTGTCTGAATGTTTTCCATTACAAACCTTTAGAAGATTTGTTGAACTAACCAAGCAGTCTTATTCAGTTTCCCTTCCTCTTCTTTCCCTTGCTTATGGTTGGGTTTTACACAAGTAAATCACAGTTAGGATGAAAAGACTCTCAAGATGCTCTTTACCTCCTGGTCAGTGGTGGGGAGGGCACCCAAGGGCCTGGTTGACCCTAGTACTGGAAAACCATCTCTAGTTCTTCTTTCTGCAGGAGAGCTGAGGGAGCCTGGCTTTGGTTTTTCATTGTTGTTACTCCTTCCCTATCATTCCTGGTATTCACTCTCTTTCCCCTCTCCTCTTCCTTTTGTAACAGGAGTGTAGGTCTTGCTGTGAAGGAATGATCTGCAATGTAGAATTACCCACCAATCACACGAACGCAGTCTTCGCAGTAATGCATGCTCAGAGGACATCTGGCGGCAGCACCCATACACTCTACCTACCAGTACTTGCCTGGGTCTTCACGCTTCCATTACTATGATACCACCACTCCTCGGAGAGGCAGACACCAGCCTTCTACAGCACAAGCTTAAAAACTGTGTGAACAGTGAACTTTTAAGTAAAGACCAACTTTGCACTTGGTGAAGAGTACACGTTGGACCCCAAAGCAGAGCCAATTGTTTACTTAGCTAAAATGCTCATCCATGAAGTCACAGGACTGGGAGAAGGGGGATTATCTAGTCTCCAGGTTTCCTTGTCAAATGGGGGGCTGCCTGTTGTCAGTTCTGCAAGGAGGGTCCTGCCGGCATCTATAATGGGTTGCAGTAGCCTAGAGAGCCACTGCCTGACCAGACCTTTAGCTGCAAGGACTTCTTGACTCCAGTGAGTCCATCAGAGGCTGCTGGGTCAAACCGTCTCAGTTCTGTGGTTAATTCAGAGTGTGACTATGAGATCTCACCCTTCTCTGGGATGAGAAAATAATTCTCCACCACAGACATAGTAAATGAGAAAGGCAGCTGTTGGAAGAAAGCTTCCAGTTGAACTAATTTGAAATCCATTTGTTAATTTTCAGGGGGAAATAAAGCTTTTAAATTATATAATGTAAATGCATGTTTGTCGTTTCTTGACTGACACGGGACCACAGATACATTTACCAGTGTCATAAAGGAGGTCATTGAAATCATGTTTCCTGCATTGGTGATATGTTCTGGCTTAAAGTATAAAATTCGATGCCAAATTCACTTTTTTCCCCAGGAAGGACATTACTTAGGATGTGAAATGCAAACTTAATAAATTGAGAAGGTCAGTAAACCTCCCTGATTAAGGAGGATGACACCTAAAAATAAGATGTACTTTCAGCAGAAGCAGCTTAAAGAGTCCCTAATGTAAGGATGGTGCAGGACCGTTGTGTTGTCTTGTGTTGGGGTTGCCATGAATCAGGGGCCAACTTGACAGCAGCTAACAACAACAAGAAACAGAAAATTGGCAAGATGGCCCCTCTCCATATGTCCATATGGTCATCTCTGTATGTCAGGCCACCAAGAGAACCTCTGTACACATCTAAAATATTTGGTCTTCTGGTCTTCTGCTTTTATAACCCAATCTTAGAATTTCAAATGAGCGTCTTTTCCATGTTTCTAGAATCCTGCTTTCCTGCCTTGACACTTTGGATGTGATCTTCTACCCTCTGCCCTTATATGTGCAGTGATGAGTTAATTGAATTTTTTTTCAATTGCACATCCACTGTTAGAATGCTGAGTGCTGTGTAGAACACCCTAACAATACTGTCTCTTCCACCTCTGTCATCTATGACAGGGGTTGGCTCCAAATCTGGCCCATCTCCTATTTTGTTTTTTTAATTTTATTGTGCTTTAGGTGAAAGTTACAGTGCAGATTAGTTTCTCATTCAAAAATGTATACATAAATTGTTTGGTAACATTGGTTGCAATCCCCACAATGTGTCAGCACTGTCCTCCTTTCCACCCCAGGTTCCCCGTGTCTATTCGTTTAGTTTTTCTGTACCTTTCTGCCTTCTCATCTTTGCTTTTGAGCAAGTGTTGCCCATTTGGTCTTGTATACTTGACTAAACTAAGAAGCATGTTCCTCATGAGTGTTATTGTTTGTTGTATAGGCCTGTCTAATCTTTGACTGAAAGGTGGACTTTAGGAGTGGCTTCAGTTCTGAGTTAGCAGGGTGCTTGGGGCTGTAGTCTTGGGGGTTCCTCCAGTCTCTGTCAAATCAGTAAGTCAGGTCTGTTTTTGTAAATTTGAATTTCGTTCTACATTTTTCTCCTGCTCTCTCCGGGACCCTCTGTTATGATCCCTGTTAGAGTGGTCAGTGGTAGTAGCCGGGCACCATCTAGTTCTTCTGGGCTCAGGCTGGTGAAGGCTGTGGTAGTTGTGGTCCATTAGTCCTTTGGAGTAATCTTTCACTTATGTCTTTGGATTTCTTCATTCTCCCTTGCTCCAGATGGGGTGAGACCAGTGTAGTATCTTAGATGGCTGCTCACAAGCTTTTAAGACCCCAGACGCTACTCACCAAAGTAGGATGTAGAACATTTTCTTTATATACAATGTTATGCCAATTGAGCTATATGTTCCCTGAGACCGTGGTCCCCATAGCCCTCAGTCCAGTATTTGATCCCTCAGGGAGTTTGGATATGTCTATGGAGCTTCCATGACCTTGTCTTGGACAAGTTGTGCTGGCTTCCCCAGTATTTTGTACTGTCTTACCCTTCACCAAAGTTTACACTTATCTATTGGCTATTTAGTGTTTTACCCTCCCCACCCCTCCCCTCCCTTGTAACCATCAGAGATTGTTTCTTTTTGTTAGTAAATCTTTTCATGAGTTTTTATAATAATGATCTCATATGATATTTATCCTTTTGTGATTGACTTACTTCATCCATATTGTGAGGTGCTTTGCAGATTCATCATTGTTCTATGTCATTGTGTAGTATTCCATTGTGTGTATGTACCATAGTTTGTAGTTTGTTGTTGTTGGGTGTCTTAGTCATCTAGTGCTGCTATAACACAAATACCACAAGCAGATGGCTTTAACAAAGAGAAGTTTATTCTCTCACACTCCAGTAAGCTGCAAGTCCAAATTCAGGGAGTCAGCTCCAGGAGAAGTCTTTCTTTCTCTGTCAGCTCTGGAGGAAGTTCTGTGTGATGTATCAGTCTTCCTTTGGTCTGGGAGCATCTCAGCACAGGAACCTCAAGTCCAAAGGACACACTCTGCTCCTGGCACTGCTTTCTTGGTGGTAAGAGGTTCCTGTGTGTCTCTGCTTGCTTCTCTCTTTTATATCTCAAAAGAGATTGGATTAAGACACTCTCTAATCTTGTAAACCTCATCAGTATAACCTCATCATAGTGATAGAGTTTACAAAACATAAGGAAATCACATCAGATTTACAAAATGGTACACAATCATACAATACTGGGACTCATGACCCAGCCAAGTTGACACATATTTTTGGAGGACACAATTCAAGCCATGACAGTGGGCATCTAGGTTGTTTCCATCTTTTTGCTATTGTGAGCAATGCTGCAATGAACTTAAGTGTGCATATGTCTATTTGTGTAACAGCTCTTTTTTCTCTAGGATGTATTCCTAGGAGTGGGATTGCTGGATCATATGGTATTTCTGTTTCTAGCTTTTTAAGGAAGTGCCATATCATTTTCCAAAATACTTCTACCATTTTGCATTCCCACCAGCAGTGCATAAGAGTTCAGTCTCCCCATAGCCTCTCCAACATTTGTTATTTTCTGTTTTTTTTTTTTTTTTTTTTTTTTGTTTGTGTGTGTGTGTGTGTGTCAGTAATGTTGGGGTGAGATGGTATCTCATTGTGGTTTTGATTTGTATTTCTCTAATGGCTAGTGATCATGAGCATTTATTTCCTCCTGTATCTGTTAACTGCTTGAATGTCTTCTTTGATGAAGTATCTGTTCTTATTCTTTGCCCATTATTTAACTGGGTTGTTTGTCTTTTTTTGTAGAGATGTTGCATTTTCCTGTTTAGAGATTAGAACTTTGTTGGATTTTTCATAGCCAAAATTTTTTTCCCAGTTTGTAGGTTCTCTTTTTACTCTTTTGGTGAAGTCTTTTGGTAAGCATAAGTGTTTAATTTTTAAAGAGGATCCCAGTTATCTAGCCTACCTTGTGGTGTTTGTATATTGTTAGTTATGGTTTGTATCCTGTTAATGCCATCTATTAGGGCCTCCAGCATTGACCCTATTTTTTCTTCTATGATCTTTATAGTTTTAGGTTTTATATTTAAGTCTTTGATCCATTTTGAATCAGTTTTTGTGTATGGTGTGAGGTATGGGTCCTGTTGCATTTTTTTGCGGATGACATCTAGTTTTGCCAGCACCATTTGTTAAAAAGACTGTCTTTTTTCTCATGTAATGGACTTTGGGCCTTCGTCAAAGATCAGGTGACTGTAGGTGGATGGATTTACATCTGGGTTCTCAGTTCTGTTCTCTTGGTCAGTGTGTCTGTCGTTGTACAGTACCAGTCTGTTTTGACTACTGTAGCTGTATAGTAGGTTCTGAGGTCAGGTAGTTCGAGTCCTCCTACTTTATTCTTCTTCTTCAATAGTGCTTTACTTATCCGGGGCCTCTTCCCTTTCCATATAAAGTTAATTATTAGTTTTTCTATCTCTTTAAAGAATGCTGTTGGTATTTGAATCAGGGTTGCATTGTATTTGTAGATTGCTTTGGGTAGAATGGAAACCCTGGTAGCATAGTGGTTAAGAGCTACGGCTGCTAACCAAAAGGTCAGCAGTTCGAATCCACCAGGCACTCCTTAGAAACTCTATGGGACAGTTCTACTCTGACCTACAGGGTCACTATGAGTCAGAATCAACTCGATGACAACTTTTTTTTTGGAAGAATTGACATTTTCACAATATTAAGTCTGCCTATCTATGAGCATGGTATATTTTTCCGTTTATGTAGATCTCCTTTGGTTTCTTGCAGTAGTGTTTTGTAGTTTTCTTTGCATAGGTCTTTTACATTCCTGGTTAGATTTATTCCTAATTATTTTATTTTTTAAGGGGCTATTATAAATGGTATTGTTTTCCTGATTCCCTTTTCATAGTTCTCTTTATTGATGCATAGGAATCCAACTGATTTTTGTATGTTTATCTTGTATTCTGCTACTCTGCTGAATCTTTCTGTTAGCTCCAGAAGTTTTCTCATGGAGTTTTTTGGGTTTTCTATGTAAAGTATCCTATCATCTACAAATAGGGACAGTTTTACTTCTTTCTTACCAATTTGGATGCCCTTTATTTCTTTTTGTTGCCTTATTGCTCTAGCTAGGACTTCAGCACAATGTTGAATAGAAGTGGTGATAAAAGACATCCTTGTCTTGTTCCTGTTCTCAAGGGGAATGTTTTCAGCCTCTCTCCATTAAGAATGATGTTGGTTGTTGGTTTTGTATAGATGCCCTTTATTATGTTGAAGAATTTCCCTTGTGTACCTATTTTATTGAGAGTTTTTATCAGGAATGGATGTTAAACTTTGTCAAAGGCCTTTTCTGC